ACAAACCGAGGACAACAGCAACAAACCGAGGACAACAGCAACAAACCGAGGACAACAGCAACAAACCGAGGACAACAACAACAAATTGTGGACAACAATTGAGGACAACAGCAACTGAGAACAAGAAGGACAAGAAGGACAAGAAAGACAAGAAAGACAAGAATACTGAGGAAATATAATGTATGTACGTGTGTACGTAAATAAAAAGGTACAATATCAATAAAATCTTAAACTTTTTTGCAAGTATTTTGTAAGCACTAAAGAGGTACGTATGTACGTTCGTAAGTACGCAAGTACGTAAGTACGTAGTGCAATCTCTTGTATGATATCATATTTTTGCGGAAAAATATTTTTTTTTTCATGACGACGAAGAAATAGCGAGTCAACAAACAAATATACTAATCATCCGAACGATGAGCAATTAAAGATGCATATTTCATATTGAATAAGATAAATAAGGGAATGTGAAAGGGAACAAAACCCGAGTCAAAGTGTTACTAGTATATATTATGGTATCTTTTTTTTTTTTTCCGTATTAAAAGAAGAATGCGCATGATTTATCAAGTACGCCACAGACGTTTTTGGTACGAAACCTTTTTTTCCAAAATGTTTTTGGGGTACTGATATACTGTACTATACTAATATACTAATATACTAACTGCTACGCAGTCTATACGCAGTCTATAAGCACTAAACATATACGTACCGATATGCATTATACGCAGTAAAAGTAGACTTACGTACTATACCTGATATGTACGAATACATCGGGTAGTAACATTACTGCAGTACGCGCGTATGTATATCAAAAATATATTTCGAGCATCTGAAAATCGGGTATCAGTAATCGGTATAGGGTATATGAGTAATATTATTTAAGTCATGTGTTCTATTAAGTAACTAATGACAAGAATTGAATTTTTTTTTTTTCTCAGAGTAATTTAACAAAGAGAAAATTCAATGGAATCCTTGGCAGCACGTTTGCATGTGAGTTTATTAAAATTATGTCATTATTTATACGTCATTTGTCTTTAAAATACTTTGAATATATATAGAATAAATTCCGAATTCATAATTTACATCATTATATATACATCATAAATATCGAATAGATAGAAGACTTTTTGCCACAGAATTAACATTCAATATGAATTTAAGAATTTAAGAATTTTGAGAGAATATTGAATTGAATATAACCAAGAATTTTGAAAGAATTTTGAAAGAATATTGAATTGAATATAACGAAGAATGTTGAGAGAATATTGAAAGAATATTGAATTGAATATAACCAAGAATGTTGAGAGAATATTGAAAGAATATTGAGAGAAGAATATTGAATTGAATATAATCAAGAATGTTGAGAGAGTATTGAATTAAATATATATAATCAAGAATGTCGAGAATATTGAAAGAATATGAATTAAGCAAAGTATCATTATGATCGTTGATCGGTCATCGCAATTCACAATCGTTTACATACAATACATCAAATAGAAAAATTTCAAAAAGAGTAAAAAATATAAAAATTTAAAGTCATTCAATAATTGCCACAATTTTCGTTATATTAACTTTCGGTCTATCCAAAAACGGAATACCTCAAAAGAAATATCTCGCATGTATATTTATATGTACGTACGTATATTTATATTTATAATAATAATTATATTTATGATTTAATGTCATTATATTTACTATTATACTTGTGTAAACATAATACGTAAATAAATATATAAGGGGGGAGGTAACGTATCACATTTTATTAATACAAAGTTAAATTTACCAAATTGAAACACAATTAGGTTGTGCGTTATGACGAATGGGTGGCCTAAACTCGAGTATAAAAGAATATAAATGGAAATTTGAATAAAGAAAAAAAAAAGTTCCCTCGTTTTCTCCCCTCAATACTGCATTTAGTGATACAATTGACATCATCACTTTCCTTTCTCGTAAGGTTTCGTAAGGTTCTGCCACCTTCACACACCTTCACATGAGCCACAAATTTTGTGAGACAAAACCCTTTGTTTCATTTTTCAAACACAAAAATCCAAATTTAGTATTTTATATGGCGCATGTATGATGATAAAGTTTAAGCGCAGTACTAAAATAAATGCATGGCAAAGTTGCGTGATTTTTAAAGTAACCATAGTTGTTTAACAAAAGATGTTGAATCAACAACCCTGCATCCTGAATTTTCTAAAATAAGTATTCAAACAATGAATGTTGGCTGGGGCAAATATTGTATCAAAAGAAAAAAAAAAACAGAGTTCAAAAAAGAGTTTGATCAAAATATCCTGATATCATGGGGCTCTAAAATTATGATTAATAATAGTTTAATAATAATTTAATAATAATTTATAATAATTAATAATAATTGATAATGATTGATAATCATTTTGTCATACGTACTCTTTTTACCTGTCCTTATGTTTGATAACGGGGAGAACAATAATTCGAACGATAATTAATAATTGTTAATAATTGGAGTTTTTCCTTTATATATATTTAATCTATATATATTTAATCTATCTTTATTAAACAAACATTTTTATCTATTATATCTATTTAATATATCTATATTTTTTAACAAAAAGAACAAAATCTTGATTTTTTTTAAGTCTACTTTCGGGTTTGGCATTTTTTAAGTCTACTTTCGGGTAAAGTCTACTTTCGATTTTGGCTTTTTAAAGTTTACTTTCGGGTTTGGCTTTTTTAGAGCCGTTGTACCTTCTTTTATACGTATCATTCTTTATATTTTGCATTGTGATCGATTTAAAAAAAATTTGACTGTTTTTGTGAATGCACATGAAGTTATGACGAATTTAATGTTACACTGACGCAGTAAAAGTAATTCCGGCTTTGATAAGTCTTTAAAGTTTTAATATTGAGGAAAAAAATTTTGATATCTACTGCGCATATATATACATGTAAATGATAGCATATATATACACATGTGTAAAATGATAATACTGTATATAACTGTATATAAAATGAAAATATAAAATAATTAATTAATATAAATAATAATGTAAAATAATTTTAATGTAGTAAATAATAATATAATAATGTAATAATGTAAATGATAATGATAAGAAAGCATGTACTGTATGTATGTTTGCTCAGTGGGAAAAAAAAATTCAAAAACTTTTTTTAAACAAAGGAGAAATAAGAATGCAAACAAAGGGAAAAATTATCAATGCAGAAAACCTTAATAATTATTCCAAAAATAAAATAAAGACATACGTAGTCTCCACATTTCTGGGTAACCGATAATCTACGTATAATAAATTGAATGTTGTTTTTGAGGTCGCGTGTTTCGGATGTTTGTTTTAGCGATTACAGTATAGCAGTATAACAGTATAACAGTATAGTAGTATAGCAATATAACAGTATAACAGGATAACAGTATAACAGGATAATAGTATAACAGTATAACAGTATTACAGACAGTATAAAGACAGTATAAAAAGTACTTTAATTTACTTTAATTTAAACAAAAAAAAAGTAATTTAAATTATCGATCAAGATCTTCTTTCTAGATAATGAAAAATATAATGCAAAAAAATATGGTATTATCCAATTAATTAATACGATTTTTGGAATCAATATATTTGAGAATTTGTTTTGTGTCCATTATATGATCTTTAAAGTTATAAAAAGTTATAAACGTTTTTTTAGTACAAAGGATTTTTACTACTTGATCATCATTTATGGAATAACCTTTTAAACATCTTATTATCCGAATTGACTATTGTGGATAAAAAAGGAAAAATATATGAGCATAGAGTTTACTTCTTTTTGTACTAGAAAAAAATTTTTTATTTATTTACAATTTACAAGATAACCGTATTTTTTTTTTTACGTGTCCAAATTTTTAGCCTCAATTCAGCAAACAAAGATTAAAAGGAATTTTCCTACATCCAATTTCTATTTTTTGACTCTGAACGCAGTAAATATTAATGCGCCATAGCTACTTATATTCTATTACTTTTTCTTTTTTGATTTGTGTGCTACATTTATATACATTTATACATACACTACGTATTACTACATACTACAGTAACTATTAAAAACAAAGTAAAATCGTAATTCTAGATTTTTAAATGAATTAATAAATGTATAATACATATATATATACTGAATCTTATTGAATACGTATTACTGAGTATATATGCTATTTGTTTGTACAATTTAATTGGATGTTTTGTTTATTAATGTCACAAATGTCACTTTGAACCCTCTTTTTTATATATATATATATATATAACTTAAGTAATTTAAATAACCCGCAAAAAAAAAAAATAGAGTACGGTTGTTGGTACTGTACATACATACGTTTGTAAATTCCTAAGTACATTTTAATTTCACGAACTTTTACACCCTATTTCTTATCAATCTCTTTGGTATACATATCTAGTAATAATTTATTTATTTATTTTATTTTTATTATTTCTATATTTGAATTTTTGGGGTAGATACTGAAAAATTAGTATTTAATCAATATTTACTTTAAAAAAATGTTATAAAAGGACCGATTTGCTCTTGCTCTTTTTCGTTTTCCTAAACTTTTTTTTTTTCTAACAAAAAAAAGTCTTTGAATATTTCAGTAATTCTAAATAATAATCATCAGGAAGTTTAACAATCGACTTATGAATTAAATTAACAAAAAAAAAAATTAAAATTAAACAAAAAGCAAATTTTTAAGTCTATTGAATTAAATATATATATAAGCAAATTTAACTCGTCACTTTAGAACGAAACTTCAAAAAAAAAAGAAAAAAAAAAAAACCGACACAAATTATTAAAATTATTCTTTCTTATTTTCATTATCGTTACTTACTACTATACCGTTACTATAGACACTATCGTCACTACACAATCATTCTATCACCACCCTCATAATCTTCACATAATCTTCACAATTTTCATATTGTCTTTACACATTATCTTCACATATTATCTTCATTCTTCGCTTATTAAAAAATGACGGTAACAAGGCCTGGCAATCCTACTAGATACCCAGCTCAACCGGATCTCTTGCGACGCACAAATTCTTCTCACTCACAAACCAATTCTACTAAGCGAAGCAGAGGCCCAATCAATAAAAGAGCTTGCCAACGTTGCAGACAAGGAAAGATTAAGTGTGACGGCGATGCGGAGACTGGAAAGCCGTGCTCTAACTGTGATCCTGAACTCTGCAAATACGATAACAGTCCCAGGAAGAACAAACAAGTTGAGAACCTAAAACAAAGACTGCAAAAAGTTGAAGAACAACTCGTTTTCATTTTGAAGAGTTCTGGTGACAAACTAGAATTAACTTATATCGAAAAAGAGACACTTTGTCTCTTATATGAAAATAAAGAACGTTTTAACGGGTCTGCCGTTTTTCAAGGGCTACTTGAAGCAATAAAACAATGTCACCTTGACAAACAACTCTTAGTTTATACTTATTCACTTTTAGAACGAATTTCTACAAACGAAGACAAAATCCAAGGAATAATTGAAAGTTTACAACGGGTTCTTTTTGCCGCTACCGAGCGTGCTAAAAACCTTTCTATCCCATCTGCAAATACTCAACTCGAACAACAACAATACGATTCTTCAATAATGTCTGGTAGTGTCGATCCAACAATGATACTAGCCAACAATCCATCGAATTTATCGGCAATTTCTTCTTTTGAAAATAATATGTGCCAAAATTGTGAAACAAATGGCTTAAATCATGTTCATACCTCATCATCAGATGATGATGGATCGGAATCTTTTAGTAATGGATATGAATGTAATGATGATGGCAGTGGAGGACCTTCAACACCAAACGAACAGAATCATCCTAATTGTTATGAATCTAAACCGTTTCAATCAACAAATGGATCGACTCACCAATTACCAGGCTCATCACAAATGTTGGAAATGGATTATTATCATCCATTTTCACCTTATAGCCTTCAAACGACGGATTATTCATCTTTCCTCTTTTTCGATCACCAAACCACATCTCCAACAGATGAGAATATGTATTTGAAACTTAGTTAAAATTAGAAATTTTTTCAAGAAAGAAAGAAGAATCATATTACTTTATATAATTTATCAAACAAATTACACTCAACTTGCATTTCAAAAATCAAATAGATTAAAATGCTAAATCTTTTTTTTCTTTTTTTTTTTCAACAAGGGATATTTGTACATATGCATAAAAACTTTAAAATTACTTGAATGTAAACATTTTATTTTTTGTATTTATGATATATAGTAAATCGTTTTGTAGTTTTAAGTATCATCTTTTTTATTTGATTTTATTAAAAAAAAAAAAATTATTTAAGAATGATTACTGTCTCGTTTTTTATTTTTATTTTTTTTTCTCTGTATATTTTCTAGCTATGTTTTCTAGCTATGTTTTCTAGCTATGTTTTCTAGCTACTTTTTCTAGCTATGTTTTCTAGCTATATATTTTCTAGCTATATATTTTCTAGCTATATTGTCTAGCTATATTTCTTGCTATATTTTCTTTTCTTGCTATCTTTTCTTGCTATATTTCTTGCTATATTTCCTGCTATATTTCTTGCGTAGACTTTTTATTATTCTTCATTTTTCATGAACATTTCATGAACATTTCATGAACATTTCATGACAAGTAATTAATTAATTACAACTTAGGCACATAAATCGATATTGTATCTTGGACAATTTCTACTTTTATTGTAGTATTGTGATAACTGTAATCACTTTTTTATTTCATTTATTTTATTTTATTTTTTTATTTTTTTTTTTGTAAATAAACACGGGGAAAAAAAATCAAATTTTTTTTAAAAAATTTTTGTAAAGAAATTTTTTTAAAATTTTTTGACGTGTAATAAATAATAATTATTTTTTGTTTTAAACATCTTGAAAGAAAAAAACAAAATAAGTGACGTATTAAATATATTAATAATATTATATAGTTAGTAATCATTATTAAATGTGTTAATAAATACGCGCGCGATTATCAAATATTATCAAATTACGCGTCAACTTAAAAATTTACCCATTAGAGTATTTAGGATCGAATTTCTTTCCTTTCTTTAGCGTAACATTTAATACCAAAAGATTGGCTTGACAAAATAATATAATTGATGCAAATAAATTTTATGAATACAAATGAATTTAAAAGCTGCAAATAAATTTGAGGCTGAATTATAGTTTCCAAATAAATTATAGTTCCAAATTACTCTTTTCTTTAAGATAAAAAAAAAAAAAACCATTTTTTTTTAATTCTCACAATTACAAAATTATCGCTAATAAAAAAATGTATCAGTATACGCAAATACTAATTTTGCATTGCATGATTTGTGTTCCTATTAACCAAATTTGGAAGCCCAAATGATTATGATAAATGCCTAGATATTTGGATCACTACTTTTTTGTGATTTAATAATTTTTGGGGTCTTCTTTTTTTGCATCCAATTTAATGTTTGGTTCCCCCAACCAAACTTGATAATCATCATAAACAATTAATTATTTCTTCTTTTATGGATCCTTTCATTAAACAATAAGTTATGGTAATTGACCTGTTTGAAAAAGATGGGAATTTTAATTGTCCAATTGCTCTTCTTAGTTTTAATTAAAATGTCGATAAAATTTTTATTTTATTTTTTATTTTTTATTTTTTTTAAAATTTTTATTTTAATATGTACCGATAAGTTTTTTTTTAGGAATTTCTGAACCTACATACATGTATCTACTTATGATAAAGATCTCGTGAATTATGAATAAAAT